TGTGTGTGTGTGTGTGTGTGTGTGTGTGTGTGTGTGTGTGTGTGTGTGTGTGTGTGTGTGTGTGTGTGTGTGTGTGTGTGTGTGTGTGTGTGCTGTCTGGCTCTACTCAATCTTTCTGACCTATTTTACTGTTTTTCAGGTGGGTCTTAAAGAGGTAGAAGACATCCTAAAGGACGTGGACTTAAATGGGGATGGACTTGTTGACTTTGAAGGTAAAATATCAGTTAGTAACTTATTTACACATCTTGAACTTTTTCCCATTCTTTTCCGGGACAACTAGAAGCATCAGTGTGTAATTAGCTGGGATGTTATGTAAGAGAGCAAAATAAAGTCTTGGATAGTTGGAAATGATCCATAGTTTGTATTTGTATATTGTTTTGTACATTAAAATCTGAAAAATGTGGTTTGTAGAACTATCTTTCACAGCATCTACAGATTAAAGTCTTTACACTCGAAATAAATTAATTTATATGTCACATTTTTGTGTATTTTCCCTTGAATTGAGCAGTTGAATTAAACAATATACCAAAGAAATAAGATGATTTGCATTTGAAATAAGAAACAATGTCTCCAGTAACTTATCTGAAGTAAATTATATGTAATTTTTCATTTTTATAGCAAAAACTATCTTTCCACTGTCAGATCGTGTTATTTTCCTGCTCAAATTTAGGGGAAATAAACTTATTTCAGGAAAATATTAGTTATTTTAGATCAGTTTTCACAGCGTCTCAGATTCCCATATCCGCTTATTTTGCTTTGCAACACAGCTCAGCTCAGTCAGAACTGAAATAGAATCACTAATGAACAGTTTTCAAAGAGGAAGTTGAAGTCTCATGAGGTTTTCAGCTTCCAACAGGTTTTTCTTCATTAGATTTCCCTTGTTTTTCTCTCATTCAAAAGTTTTAATCAATTTGACAGTATGATCTGGTTGAATTGTATCTGTAAAGTGCCTTGAGATGGTTTGTGTTTTGAATTGGAGTTATATAAATAAACCAAATTGAATTGAATTGAAATTGAATTGAATTCCATCTTCCTATTAACTGTCTCTGGATTTCCATCTCAGTTCAGAAGGAATAAATCAACTATTCAACTATTCTGGATTATTTGAGTGACTTTTTATGAGGATGTTTACATTAGCAACATCATGCATCTTCTTGCATGTTGTCATATGTATTTTCCTTTGCCGTTGTTCTTCTCTTTCAGAGTTCGTACGGATGATGTCTCGCTAAAATCAGATCTCGGTCCTGAATGTGGCGCCGCGTCCCTCTTCACACTGAAACCCCGTCCAGCTAAAGGACGAGCCAAGATCTACTGAGCCATCTTTAAATCTAAACCACACTGGAATCCAAACTCCTCGAATGTTACAGAGCGAGGGGCTCACCTCCCACTTTAGGTCGATGAAGTGTTCTTCCTAAAAACGTTTAAAGTTGAACTGAGGCAGAGTTTGCTGTAGCATAGCAAAGGATTGTCTAATTTATGTTTTTTGCACTTTATTTCTCTCTTAATAACTTCCTGTGAGATAGATTGTCCGTGTCCTGTCTCAGACTCTACATGGTGTAACTAAGTGTCTTATTAAAATGTCACCTTTGATGTTTCAGCGGCATTAGAATAAGAGACTGAATGTAGGACCCACAGAACATTAGCACTGTTGAATGTTTATCTATTCACACGTTGTCTGTTGTATTAGAAATGTACTTGAAGGACCTTTGTGCAGCAATGGTGCTTCACCAAGAATCAAGGTGGCAATACCAAACATGTAATGTAATTTGTGACCATGTGTAATTTTTCACTGTGCTAAAACCATTTCAATGAAAAGGCATCACTGTCATGCATGAAAGGAAGAAATCTGGTCCTAATACGAAGCAAATACCTGAAATGCCTCCATATGTGTTATTCACTGAGATCGGCAGAAGAACAAGGAAGGAAAACAAGAGGCTGTAAAAGATAGGCAGCTTTTCTTAAAGTGCTCACCAGGCCTGACCAGCGATGGGTGTTCTGCAGCAATATGCCAACATTGCCAAGACTGTCGTTTGTGTCTGAATTCGCAGAAGGCTGGGGAGGAGAAAGTGCTGTTTTTAAGGTCTGTTCAGGTCTGCACGAGGTCACACGTTAGTAAAATGCATGTGAAAGTCCAGTGGATCTGATCATGTTGTACGTCATCATCCTGACTCTGTATGCTGTAACCTTCCATACATCTGTGCTGTCAAACAATATTTTTATGCATGCCAAAGAGAGACATTTACTACATTTAGTATGCACAATTTTGTCTACAAAAGGAGGAAACATAATACTTTGGCAAGTTAACTGTAGAAAAATAAAAGCCGTTTACATTTCAATCCTTTTTTTTTACTATTGGTGTGTGCGTTTTAATACATGGGCTAAATCAAAATGTTACAATGGTATTGAGGGATGTCTGCATGTAGAAAGGACAAAGCTAATCTGGGTATCTATTATTCATGTGTCACTGATGAAGCTAAAGGGAAGACACCTATTACCAGCTGCAACACTGCAGTTATATTGTTGGTACCCCTAAAAAAAAACTCTCTTGGATTTGATATAGGATTATTTGATATTTATTTATTTTTTATATACAGAAGTCTCTTTCCTGAGCAAAAGATTACAGTAATGCTATTCTAATTAAAGTGTTATTAACATAATTGCATTTTCTTATATTTACAAGATTTATGTCTTCAATCAAATTATCCTTTAATCAGAGAAAAAAAAAATCAAAGGCTTATATTTCATTTCTGTTTATTTTTTCTTTCTCTATGTTTAAATTAATTTCTAATTATTTTAGATTCCACTTATTCCACTTTTAAAACTCAGTGTATTTACTAAAATGTATTTACATTTTTATATCCCTTCTTTATAAAATCGTGCCACTTTCTAAATTTCAAATGTTCCATATATTCTTTCCTTTTATTTTTTGTGACCCTTTAACCCACTTTTAATTGTGTTTCTGGGTCAGTTTTTACCCTGTGCGAAGCAATGCGCTATAGTCATTTTGTATTTAACCTATAATAACAGCAATATTAATAATACATTTATAAGGATGTAATGCTGGTTTAAAAAATATAGCTGTTTGCACAGTGTCTGCATCCATTCATGTCTTTCTAGTTAAACCTGACCAGTGCAATCAGCGCGTTGCGTTGGACTCTCCTGATTGGACAACACTTTGGACCATACCATATTAGAAGAAAAGGAAGGGGCGTGACAGTTGGAGTATTGGGTGATATTTACCTCCAGAAATACATTTAAGCAGAATATATACATTTTCTTTTTTGCATAGAACGTTTATAAATCAATAAGAACATAAAATATGTTAAAATAGTTATAGAAAACCAAGCACAAAATTATGACAGATAATAAAGATGATAAATCTTCATCTTTCGGAATATTTCTGAGGAGTAAAACGTTGTTTTAATTTATGTTTGTTTGAAAATACTGTTTATAAAGTGGGTCTATTAGAGCTGGAAGCTGTAATGGGCCGCTGTGATTCGGCAGAGCGCCCCGTCACTCGCCGGTAATGGGGGAACCTCGGCTCAGTTCCGCCTCCTCCAAACTGGCAGCCGTTGCTGGAGTTAGCAGCAGCAGCAGCAGTGAACGTTCCTCTGAATATTACCCACTCATTGAATGAAAGTCAGGGGCTGGCTGTGGCCGGTATCTGCAAACCACTACGGTTATCTCCCAGTGTGGCTTCTGGACGCTTTGCGACGCAGTGCCAACAGGAATACATCTGATAAAGAAGGCAGGAAAAAAAAAAGGTTAGAGAGAAAAGGTAAGAGACATTTGCATTTACGTTAGCCAGCCTGGCTCTCATTTACCAAGAATTTCTGGTTAGACAGGTAGGTTAGCTACACTATCAGGCTAACTTATCAATGTGGACGCTGCTCCGTTTTATTTGTTAATAACGAGGTGACATGTTGGATTCATGTCCAGGTCAGGCTAGAGATTCAGTCCGTGATGTTTGTGTATAACTGTCATTTTCCGCATCTCCGTCTCAGTGCTACTGTTCATGTTAGCATAGTGGCTAACTGGCGGATATCATGTTCCATGTCAGTCAGACACGCTGGCTAGCTCCTCTCTCCGGCTAACCTTGGTGCTTTAACGTTGGAGGACTCCTCCATGTTGGGGTTTTTAGGGCAGTTTTAGCTTCATGTTGCCGTGTCTGTGACCCAGGAGCAGGGGGAAGACTGAAGCGATGCAGCGGGTCACGGCGCAGCTCGTCGCCGGGCTGCTGGCAGCGGTGCTGTCTCTGCTGTCCGAGCAGAGCTGGGCGGACGGCGGGGGCCCCAGCCTCTCAGAGCGGGTTATCTGGGCTGTGAACGCCGGGGGAGAAGCGCACATTGATGTCCACGGGATTCATTTCAAGAAGGACCCGTTGGAAGGGAAAATCGGGAAAGGTGAGTGAAAGAAATGGGGAAAACTGCATTTTATTTTAAAAATAAAATAAAAATCTGAGATTTATTAATTTATTTATCAAGCGCTGGTGATAATAAAGCGACGTTATAATGAAGGAGATCCATGGTTTCAGCATAGATCAGTGCATGGTGTAGCTTCCGCAAGAAGCTTCAAACTAATGAAGAGTCAGCATAGAGGCTGCAGCCCCGCCCCTCTGAGCCAGGGGAGGAAGCAGGTGATGGTCTGATCATCTGGACCTCAGAGGACGGGCCAGGGTTAGATATAAACCTTTACCTCTCTGCAAAAAACTCACTATTTCTAATTCATTTTATTCTACAGAAATAAATTGGTCTGCAGCTGAGGCTTGTCAAAAGTATCAAAGCTCAAATGCTTTATCTGTATATGCTGGTTAAGATTCTCACTCATCCAGGTCATTCTTAAAAACGTATTCTGGCTTAAACATGTATATTAATGTACTCTTTATCAGACCATATTGTCGCAAAATGTAGAATATTTCCATTAAAAAAAATCCTGTCTTAAAATCTGTTTTTCTTTTCCATTATCTTATGCAGGCCAGTTAGTTATACATAAGCGTGTGCACCTTATTTCAACCAATCAAATATCAACGGTCATCTGTCAATCTAATTTTTTCAGTCATAGCATCTTGATTCTTATGTTGCAGCTGATATACGCAACGGTTGAAATAAGAAATAAGAATAATTTATTCTTTATTACTTTCCCATTGAGTTCCGTCCCAGTGTTCACGGGGATGGACGTCTGTGTCTTCAGCAGGCGTAGAGCTAACAGAACTGGCAGCGTTGCGAGGCAAGGGCTCAAACATGTACGGCTGGAAGCCTTCTAGACCAGGCATCCCCAAACTAGGTCCTAAAGGCCCGCTGTCCTGCAGGTTTTAGAGGTTTCTCTGCTTCAGCACAGCTGGTTATAATGATTGCAGTAGACCAAAAGCCTGTTAATCAGCTTTCATTTAAAATCAGCTGTGCTGGAGCAAGGAAACCTCTAAAGCCTGCAGGACAGGGGGCCTTGAGGACCGAGTTTGGGGATGCCTGTTCTAGACCAAACCAAGCTTCTGGCGTCCTGTTCCACAACATCTTCGTCCCCGCTTTCCTCCTCTAAATAACAAATGGATGACGGAGGAGACTCATCCACGACCTCCGACACTAAACTCTCCTCCTCTTGCATGTTTCCTCTGTCCATAGCGTTCCTTGACAGCGTCGTTTCTAAGTCACCAATTTAGTGCTACTTGGTCCCAATGGAATTTCCCATTGGGAACCTACTAGCAATAAGTTGCTAACTGGTTAGCAAGAGGCTTCCGAGAAACCGGCCACAACCAGACTTGCTTACGAACTTTCTGCCACAACAATCCCGCCCCCTTGATAAACGACCAATCACATTCACTTTATTCACTCGTGTAAAGTCAGGCACCATTCGGGAGAAGTCGGAAATGCAACGGTTGGAACGGCCGCTTCTCTACGACTTTAAAAACAATCCACTGGACTTTGTTTCCACGTTTCAAAGTTTCCAATTAAAAATGTCAGAAATAGTTTGATTTAAAATCTACTGCTTTAGATCAACAGGGTTTTTAACCTTACTAAAATTAAAAATACAATATCAATATTCAGGAACACGATACAATTTTTGACACCGTTGGAATAAATAATGGCAATAGTTAAAGGCATAAAAACATATTTATTAATATGAGCAAACATTTTCAATCTCAACATAATCAGAGATTCTATTTTAAGAGCTTAATTGCGTGCAAAATAAATAACGCAAATATAACTCAATTTGACAATATTTTAGGTTGTTTGAGGTATTCTTTTAATGTACAAAATAATCTACAACTCTATACGGATAAAGACATTCCAAAAAAAACGAAAAAACCCAATCATAGGACTTTGTTTTCAAGTTTGAAGACGTTTTGCTTCCCATCCAGGAAGCTTTTTCAGTTAAAATGTCAGAAATAGCGTTGAGTTCGAGGCTTTACAGAGTAGCCCATCATGGCCTTGTTATGGTTAGAAAACTTGCAAATTGAAACAGAGGAACAGGTCCACCCCTTTGGAACTGGGCTCCTTTGGCTTCTTTTTTAGCTGATTGCTGCATTGTAGCTTTTAAAAACCTACAATGCAGCGATAGAGTTGATCCCTTCCCGCTATCATCGCAACCCCAACCCCTTTAGGGAACAGAAGACCTCGCCTGTTCTGCCAGGCCAAAAATTCCCTTAAACTATCCCCTTTCAGAGACATAGACGGGTATGAGGCATTACAGGCTAATAAAGAACCTAAATTTGTAACTATGCGGAAAACATGGCGAGCAAGCAGCAGCTCTTGCTGGCGAGGGTTCTCAGATGTAAACATCTAGAGACTTTCCGTTATTTAGCTAATAAATATCACCATTAATAACAGATTGTGTAAATATGACAGAAAATAAATTAATGTTCCTCTCGAACGGCATGAAGAGGCTTTGATAAAAATGTAAACGGCTGTACTTTCTTCTTCCTCCTCTAGTTTTTGTCAGCTTGCTGTTTGTTTTATTCATCCATAACATGATTCAAATATAACTTAAAGCTGTAAAATGCAACGTTAAGTAATTAGAAATATTTGCAAATTAAACGGTTATATGATTTTTCGTGCCTTTAATCTATAAACTCAAGTAATTAGATGTATTTAAGTGGTCGCCAAAATAGTTTGGGAGTCCCTGGTCTAAAGCACAGTTTTACTCTTCGTTTCTACAGTAAAGGCGTTAACCTTAAAACAACCAAATTAGATAAAGACTCTAAGAGAGGTAAAATGTTGGCGGTTTTTTGTCAAATGAAAAATGTTATTCTCTCAAATAGGTTTAAAAGCATGAGAGTTTCTAGAAGTCTCTCTTTTCTGACTAAAAGAACCTAAATCATTGTAGCTTTGGCTAGAGCTGAATATCTAGTCACTGAAACCCGCAAGAACTAAAGAAGGATAGATGGGGTCAAAGGTTAAATTGTGTTTGAATAGTCTGGTGTCAGTCATCTAGTCAGAAAAGCCTGCCGTTATTAAAACAGGCATGTAAAGACTAGTGAATGTTTAATCTGTAGGAAGAATGACTGCTTGTTTCAAACATTATCCAGTAATGGAATCAGGAACGTCTCATGAACCTGATCTTCTCCTCTTTAGCCTCTGATTACGGCGTCCGTCTGCCCATCCTACGCTCCAGTCCAGAGGACCAGATACTCTACCAGACAGAGCGTTACAACGAAGACACCTTCGGGTACGACGTCCCCATTCGTGACGACGGAGACTATATACTAGTCATGAAGTACGCAGAGGTTTACTTTGCCCAGTCACAGCAGAAGGTATGGCCGTTCATTTCACCGACGCGCTGACGGCGGCTGCTCTTCAGCGCTGGAGTTAGATTGTGTTGACTGGTTCGGAAATGTGTCTCCAGGTGTTTGATGTCCGTGTAAACGGCCACACGGTGGTGAAGGACCTGGACATCTTTGACAGAGTGGGCCACAGCACGGCTCATGATGAGATCGTTCCCTTCTCTATCAAAAAAGGCAAGCTGAGCGTCCAAGGGGAGGTGTCCACCTTCAACGGGAAGCTCACCGTGGAGTTTGTGAAGGTGGGTGGGCTTTATGTGTCCGTCTGGGGGGAAAGGGGGCGTTGTTTTAATTCATATCAGTAAAAACCTTCCATCCATCAGTTGGGGCTGATTCTGAATCACCTTGTTTTGCTGCTGATGGGAAGGAAAGTACCTGCCATGTCTTTTTTGCAGCGTTGGTAACTTTTCCTTTCTGTTTCACTTCGTTTCTCTGTTTTCTGGCTGATTCCTGATATAAATGTATATAAAGTTTTATTTGCTTGTGAATTTTCACTCAAGTTTACTGACAGAACTGCGTGTCTTTAATAGACAGCAGCAGCCATATTAAAGCTTAACTGTAAAGCAATGAAGGTTTATCACCGTAACCTGGTTTCTGTCCCGAAGTGAAGTGAAACCCCTGATTTACCTCATGTTGGCAGCAACCGTACATCACAGACCTCAGGGATACTGTGGGTTTTTTTGTTAAACACTGCAGGGAAATGATTAACCGGACATTTATAACCATCAAAGACTCTCTGGGAATGATTATATATATGCAGACGAACCATCAGATCAAACCCAGGCCACTGCTCAGTGCATGGTTGACATTTTTATATCTTCCGTTTTAAGAAGTACCGTAAATTATTTTTCAATGCTTCATAAATAAATGGTGGGGAAAAAAGAAAAAACTGCATCCCAGGTAAAAAAATAAATAAAAAAAGAGAAGAGATTCTGTTCTGATCCACGGCGGCAAACCTGACGCAGGCGGTCCGGCACAGCGGAGACGGGGTCATGGTTTGGTCTTGTTCAGTTACACGCAGCAGCTGTATCTCTAGAGGATGTTGAACAGAAGTGACCTATTCTGTCAGGTCTGGCTAGGCGACACAGATTGGAAATTAAATCAGATTCTATTTATTTTTATTCACTATTTCATTTAAATAAAAACAAATTTTTTCAATAACAAATAATGAGCGCCTGACATCTCTAAACGAAGCCTGGTTGGGAAATAATCCAGATTTTCTTGAAGTTAAATCTCCATAAACAACAGTTTTCAATTTATGTCTCACCCATTATGTCCATCAGACCTCCAGTGTTTGGATCTGTGGGTCATGGATGTCATTTTTCTCCTAAAGAAAACGGTCAGACCATTCAGATTATGCTGCTATTATGTTTTTGTGATGTGATCAAATGAAAATATTTACGTTTCTTACCCATATAGGCATGTTTAGATTCTTTTTGTTCATCATAATCCACAGAAAAACAAAATCAAATTGCGTTAAAATGGCTCCTAATGGGGGGTTTATTCTGGTACAACTTTTTCTTTTATCAAAAGTCAGAAATTAAAGCTATAAACCTATTCTGGATCTATTGATCCACCACAGTTTCCAGTCACTATGTTGGGTGTGTTTGTTTTCATCTACTTGTTAGCTTGATATCACAGCAGAGTTTTTAACTCAGACCAGTCGTCCTGTAAGTCAGGATCAGTAAAAAAAAAAACAGCTTTTCTCATCGCCTGTTTCGTACTTGCCCACTTCTTTAGTCTGCAGCATTACTTTCTGAGAGGGAGATGTTCGGAAAATGATTAAAATGAGGCGTCAGCAAATGAGAAGAGCTTTAAATAGATGGGCAGGACTTATGGTTGCCATTCCTCCCTGTCTGTTAAGGTGGATAACTTTGAAATCATCTCAGTAATTCTGCACCAGGCTGACTTTAAAGACAAAATGGATTTATTTCAGGCTCAGGTGTTTTATAAAAAATAAAAATGAAAGTCAGGAAATTGTCTATATACCAAACTGAAAGATCGTTGTTCTCTACTTCCAAAAACCAATTTATATTTTAAAATGGAAAAACATTCTATTTTTTATTTAAATATTTAATGTATAACATGGATGCATAAACACCTGCATTTTACTTCAGTGTTAAATTCTGTTTAAAGCAACATATTATAATTAAAAATGTCTCCAGACCTTTACCGCTTGATTTTCTTTATTTGGATCCCGCTGATTTTTAATTGGTTACCCTGATCTAAGGCAAATCATTGTGTTTTCTAGGGATGCATCAAAATTAAACAACTGCTGGGTTGGTGTTAGTAAGGTATCAAATAACAGGACGTTTTCTCCATCTCTACGGGGGGGGGGGGGATTTCAAACTGATTAAGGCTCTTAGCAGCTGGTTAAATCGATTAGAAGTAGGTGGAGGGGTCAGCCATCCACAGCTGGAGGATTGCTTCCAGGTTATTCTGACATTTTTAAATAGAAAAGGTAACATACAACATAATAATCCAAAAAGATAGATTTTATAGATCACATGCGGATCTCTCATCCAAGATGCCTTCGCATGATTTAAAAGAAAATGCTCCTGTGAATTATTTGATCTTATTTCAGTCTGCCTTTTTAGGATAACTGGTTGTAGATGCTAATAGAAGAACATTTTTGGTTGTTTTGAGGGGTTTTCTTGCTGTTTCCTGCTGTTTTTTTTTTTTTTCAGGTTATTAGTTTGTGCTTGAAGTTCCTGAAAAACAGGAATGGAAAAAGGAGAAGTGAATGTTGCATAAGATGACAACTGCATTGTTTGTTTAAGAGCCTTTTTTTTATTTATTTTTTTATTTAATTTGATTTTAAAAGTCCAGTTCTAGTCATTGTTGCCTTTTTTTTTTTTTTTTTAAACTGTATATTTTGCTGCTTTATGACCTCACTGCTCTGTTTCAGGGTTATTACGACAACCCCAAAGTCTGCGCGCTCTACGTGATGAAGGGGACTTTAGAAGGTGAGCCCTGAGCCTGGATTAGAGTTATAAAATATATTAGGGCTGGGTTTCTGTAATGTATAGCTTCTGATTGTTTTGAGGGAATTTTATGTGATCGAAAAACTCAAAGAAATGCAAAGTGGTAGAAAAAAAATGTTTTTTTTTTTTTTTTACAAAAACTGCTTTTTGAGCAACTGAAGGCATGCGCAGTGATTTAATCCTGGTCACATGATGTTTTTATGGTAAATCTACACAGAAAGGCCAAATTTACCAACAAACTGAGCAAAAACATAGTTTAAAAGACAAAAATAAGAAATACTATGCCAGCAGGACACTGCAGTTGTTAGGAGTGAGTTACAGGCGTATTAATTTAATGAAATATTAACTAACAGGACGACATTGCTTTGATTTAAAAGGAAATGTCTCCTTTTCCTTCACTCCACAATTTTCCTCTTTCTTTTATTCGTGCTTTTATTTCATAAAATCCAGATAAATGAATTTGAGGTTGGAATAAATTCCATCATCAGTTTAATTTATTCACTTCTCTACAAAAACTGTCTTCATGTGTTTTTTTTTTTTTTTTTTTTAACCAGCATCTGCTCTGTATTAATAGATGTACCAAAGCTTCAGCCTCACCCAGGCCTGGAGAAGCCCGAAGACGAGGAGGAAGAAGAGGAGGACAGCGAAGTGGGCGAGGAAGGAGGGAAGAAAAAAGTCCAGCCAGACTCCAAGTACAGGGTCCAGTCGGGCCCCCGGACACCGAACCCCTACGCAGCCGACAACAGCAGCCTGATGTTCCCCATCCTCGTTGCGTTCGGAGTGTTCATCCCCACGCTGTTCTGCCTCTGCCGGCTGTGAGCTGAAACTGACAGAGAGGGGGAGACACCAGCAGGCGAGACGAGAGAGAAGGGGAGAGAGAGAGAGAGAGGGGGAGAGGAGGTGACAACAGCAGCACAGGTACAAGCATTCACACAGGAGAGAGAGAGAGAGAGAGAGCCAGAGGCCTGGGAGGACAACAGAGACAAGCTATCGGAGAGCCACTGCCAGACGAAGCGAGCGCCGCTTTAAGAACCGGAGCTGTTGGAAGTGAATTCTGCACGCTTCTTCGAATGTGTTTTGCCTCCACCTCTGCTGACACCTTTTTGAACAATCTGTCATTTCCACTTTAAAAGCTGGCCAGGATTCCCAGCAGCCAGCCTTCATGCTAGAAGCCACATTTCTGCAGCTCTGAGATGCTCAGGAGAGAGCGAGCTGGGCCAATTTTCTAAACTAAAACCCATAGTTTTTGTACGGGGGGGGTGCAGCTCGGAAGCGAAGCCTCTAAAACTCCTGAAAACGGTGCTGCTTAGGAACGGGATATCTAGGATAGAAAGTGTGAATGAGACGGTCCATCAGAGGGGGGCTTCTGCTCCTCTCTGCTTTGAAAACCTTTTAGTTGACTTTCTGTTGACATGCTGTCATCTACCTGCCATAAAACGGAGGAAATTAAAGCTTGAACCAGCTCTGGAGCTGGCGCTGTCCGAGTCCGCTTGCCTTTATGTAAACATGGGGTTCACAAGTCTGCTAAAAAAAAAAAAAAAAAGCCTCTCTGGACATCTTCCACCCCGTTTCTACGCTGATTTGATCACCACTCCAAATACGGCTCCATCTGGAAACGGCGTTAAAACCTCTTAGGAATCTGGTGTGTTTGTTAAAGTCAATGCTGTGAAATGATTGTACAGGAGCGTCTCAATGAATGAGAATATCAGAGGAACCAGAATATAGATCACTAATCCAGATTAACAAATGGAATTCTATTCATCCATTTCTTTGACTCACTGCTAATAAATTTATCTGCAAGCTGACATTAGATCAATGAAATGTACTGAACAGCAAACCTGATTGGAGGTGTTCAGCTGTCAATCATTTATAGTTCCTAGCATTTCTAGCCAATCAGGCACTAGTTTAAATCAGATTAAATAAAGCTTTAAAAGCATACATAGTTAACTCGTTGGTGTAGAATTAAAAAAATAAAAAATAAGGAACAGGAGCCTGAACCGACAGATGAAGTCATTTTTGATAAGAAACCTGCTTTTTTCCTCATATTTTCCTTCCACTGAACTTTCCTGTTACTCATTGGAACTTAGTCAGTTTATCTGACTACCTGCTGGAAAAAGAGCATAATAATACCAGCTCTTTTTATTCGTATTGGCCTAATGGAATATTTGAACTTAGAAAATATAAATTGGGGGTTTTGATTAGCTGTAAGTCAGAGACGTCCCTGTTGAAATGTTTATGGCGACTCTGTCCATTTTTTAAATTTTCTAACTTTAATGAAGTGATGAGAACTTCCTGATGTTTTGATTGCTTGAGATGCGCCTGTACAGCCCGTCTGCTTTCCTTTCTTTCACCCATTCATTTGTGTTGCATGTCTGCCTTTTCGTTTCACCAAAGAATGTTGGATTTTCTTTTTTTAAATCACACGGAGAAGTTTTGATTTCAGTGAACGGTGAATCAGCAGTGAGCTGCGTGCCGTGAACCCGTCCCTCCGTCGTGTCTCAGATCCGTGCCAATCGACGCGTCCTTCGCTTGTCCTCCTTTCAAACGTTAATCTGTTCACCTGCTTCCAAAGGTGAGAAAGCAAAACGTTTCCAGTCGCCATGCCCTCCTTCGGCCTTTTCCCTCAGTGCCGTCTTAAAGGGGCTCCAGCGTGGATCTGTTGGGTTAGTTCTAGATTATATATCTCTTTGTTTTTGGTTTACGATTCTACTTTCCTCCCTTAAGTGCTTTGCTCTGACTCCAAGGATGACTTTGAAACCTTGCTCGTTTCACAAACGCGTCTTAAACTCCCTCCTTACGCCTCCTTTCCTTCCTCTCCCCTCCAGTGTTGATGTTACCTTGAACAGTACTTGAGAGGGAAACAGATTTCAGATCCTCCTTCTGTCCTTTGGTTCTCCCCTCCTTTATGTTTTTAAAGCAGTTTTTGTCAGACACTTTCTGAACTTGTTTCCCGGGTTCTTCCTTTTTTTTCAGTTGTTTTCACTGAAAGCAGAAGCACCTTTACTTTTCTCCCGTAAAGATGCGTTGGTTTAATTCAGCACCAAAGTCACCATCGTCCTCCTGGCGGTCGGTCTACACAGTCGCGTGTGTATATAAACGGTACAGAAACGCTTTAGTTGTCGTCGTTTCGGGGAGTTTCTTTCATGTAGCCGAGGTGTTTGGGGTGTTTTAAATTCGTGGCCTTTCTTTCTGGGGAGAAGCGCTCGTCGGTTCCTGGCATTTAGGGATCGATGAGGCGTGGCGTCGGATAATGCGACGGCTTCGGTTTTATTCTAATTTAAATCAGAGGGGGCTGACCTGGAGATGTTTATATTTGAGTTCTTTTCTTCCTCAGGATCTGTTTTAAGTTTGTGAAACATGATATTCTATTGGTGTGACATTTTGCACTGCCTCATGTATGTTTTCTTTTGTTTTTTTTGTTGTTGCCTTGAATTATTGAATACATTGTGCTTTACCATCCTTCGCCTTGAGATTGCGCTTTTTGTCGGTCATACAAGAACATCCTGGCTGCTTCGTCGATGGACAGTTTTCAGGGATTCTTTTTCCCAACAGGGGCTCGAATTCAGAAGCAGAGTTATTCCATCTAAACTCACTGACCTCAACTTTACTAGGAGCAAAGCCAGCTGAGAAACATCCACCTCCCCCAAACACACAGCGGCGTCATTTTAGGACCGCTTGTCTTTTCATCCCACAGCTGAATGAACGAGACTGAAGATGTTTTTGTTTTTCTTGCCACACAGGAACCAAAGAAACGCCATCCCATCAGATTTCATTTTTCTAATTATATTAATGATGGACCTCTCTGGCTTTTCCTGTTCAATACCGATCTCCCACTTTTTGTCAGGGTTTTCTATTTATCTGCACCACATAAGAAAAAAAATGGTTAATTAAAAATCATTATTCCTGCATCAAAACATGGATCCCTAAAATGGTGCATTTAGAGTCTGAAGGGGTTGGAAATCCATCCTGGTTTGATGCATTTAATATTTTTTTCAAAGATAACTGTCAATAAAAATGATTGTGTTGGTGCCTTAATTTGTCGATTCATGGGATTCTTATCTCGTTCAAAGTTTATACTTATATTTACCAATAATATAAATCTTTCAAAACAGAGTATTAAACCTGAGCATATCTCAGGGGAAGGAAAACTTCTCCTGTTTTAAAATATAGAAGATTTATCTGTGGTTCTGTTAGTAAAAGTGATTAATGTCCTTAAAAAGAACTGAATACTTGCTGCTCTATTTAAACATGAAATACATAATTAAATTAAGATTATTTATTCATTGTCAACGCATACAAACGTAAAATCTGATATTTTATATGTGAGAATAAAGTTACAAACTTACAACTTCAGCAAAATACAAGTATAAATGTTACTACTACATATCTACAAACTAATAAAGCTGTTCCCCTCCCTACCAGCAGGTGGCAGTAATTCACCTGAAAGTTGCTCTCCAGTCGCCATTTAATGAGAACATGAACAAAATCATGGATCAAACGTCTTTGCTGAAATGTTCTGTTCAACACATAATTTTCTTATTAATGGCAAACATGTTTATTACTACCCCCTACTGGGAGGGAGTGGAACTGCTTCTTTATTGTTTCATACTCGTAAAACCATACTTGTATTTTTCATAACTTCTAAACTTGTTCCCCACAAAAAAAAACTATTGTTTGTATGAGTTGATAACAAGAAACAAAAAGCAAATCAAATTACTGACTTTTTATTTACAAATTCAGACATCCGCCCATGTTTTTATTGATGTTATCTGATCCCATAAGCTTTCTGAACCCATGAATCTGTTTTTCTCCCACTATATAAATTATTAAAAAAAAAGAAAAAAAAAGCTCCTCTATGATGACCTAAAAAAAAAAAAAAAAAAAAGTAACAGGAACTATGATTATTGATTAAAGTGTTTACTAGCATGTTTGCTCTAATTTCCCCCATAAAGCTGCCTGGATTAGATCCGTTCAAAGCGAGACTGCGGCTGAAGAGCAGAACCACGAGCTCATCAGTCGCCTCCATTCGTTCAGCGAGGTCTGCTGGCAGTCACACGGTGCGGTTGTTTGAATGAACGAGTTTTCTTCTTTTTGCTTTATGCATCCTGTCATACTGTAGATACACCAGTTGGATAAACGTCAGAGGTGGCAACAGCAGCAGGAGGTTGACTAAGAAACATTTGTAAGACCCCTGATCTTGTGACGCAGATGTGGCATATTTCAAGATGCAAGATGGGACAATTGCTGATTTATGCTGTATCTTTTTAATAAATGTGCTATTTTTATCAGAATCTGTTTCAAGTTGTTTTTTTTTTTTGTTTGATGCATTGGAGTTCACGTGGTAGCTGTGTTTGTTCAGGTGTTTAGCCGCCAGCCTCTGATTAATTCCATTCAGTTTATTTCTATAGCTCCAATTCACAACATGTCATCTCCAGGCACTTTATCACCAGATCATCCAGTCAGATTGGTTCAAAGTTTTCTATCTAAGAAAAAGCAGTTGATTGCATCGACTCATTTACTCTAATTGACAAGTAGCGACAGTGGAGAGGAAAAACTCCCTTTTAACAGGAAGGAACCTCAAGCACAACTGGCTTAGTGTGAGTGGCCATCTGCAGAGGCCGACTGGGGTTCAAGGAGACAGAAGCAGCAGAAAAGGCAACTGTAAACCAGCTCTACAGGCGGCGCCGTCCAGGAAACACACAGCCAGGCAGACGAGCTCCGAGCCAGCTCCCATGTCAGAGGATGAAGAGAGCACATCCACCCAGTCACGGTCAGAGAAACAGGACTACACTGGAAAACGGGCAGATCGCGAACATCAATAAACAAAGGTGTTGATGGCAGCAGCACAGCTGATATTTCTCTCCAGGATGGAGTCACAGCCAAACAGGAACAGACCAGATGAAGCTACTATGAGAAAAAGCAGAGAGAGCAGATGGTTAGAGATTGAACTAACAGATTCTGCAGAGTGGGAGAATAGAGATAGAATGAAGCAGAATGATGAAAAAGGGGTCCCTATGTCCTCCAGCAGTCTAAGCCTATAGCAGCATAACTATAGAGATAGATCAGGATAACCTGAGCCACTCTAACTAGAAGCTTTATCAAAAAGGAAAGTTTTAAGCCTAGCCTTAAAAGTAGACAGGGTGTCTGCCTCACGGACTAAAACTGGTAGTTGGTTCCACAGGAGAGGAGCCTGATAACTAAAAGATCTGCCTCCCATTCTACTTTGAGAAATTCTAGGAACCACTAGTAAACCTGCACATTAGACACATAGATATAAGCTGCACAGGTTAATCACACCTGGTACAGCTGCATCTCTCCAAAAGATGTTTTACTGACTCATTTTCAACAATAAAACTCAAATATCTCTGTGTTACTGATGGCTTGATTGTTTCTCACATCTCATAAAAACCTCCAATTAGATTTTTCCTGATTTTCTTATTACCGGTACTAAGAAAAGTAAATGGAATTATGTAAACATAGATAGGACTTATCTTTGTGTCTCCTGAAGAGTTAAAGAAACCCAGAGCTTTAGGTTGGACCAGTTTGCTGACCTAAAATTACGTTTATCTGAAAATGAAAAGCCTTTAGACCACAGGCCTTTTCTCTTTAATCCTGGTTAGAGGTTTTAGACACAGTCTCTGGTTTAGATTAAATGCACCAGATGGACTCCTTTAAAGATTTTGTGGTGGTTGTGAAGCTCTGAGTCCATCTGAAGTCCACACCATGTGGATCAGTCCATCCACTGAATGGGCTTTACTTCACATCCTCTCAAAGCTGTCACACTTTCATCTTCTGCTCAATCTTCATACAACACTGCTAGAAAATCCAGAAGGCAGCGGCTACGACATGAAGGATGATGGATGCTCTACTGAACATGTTCTCAATGGTGAGAATGAAAGAAAATTCGGACGAATTGATAACCTATAAAATGCTAACTTCCTGGGATCAAAACATTAAAAAAAAAACGGCCATAAAAAAGACCTGCATCCTTAAAAATCTTTTTCTTTCCTTTTTCAGGTGTGAAATTTTACACAAGGTGAAAGCTGTCAGTGTGTCATTAGTCTTTAACTAAATTATTGACTATGTAATGTTTGTAACAGGACATGGAATTCATGCAATCTATTCAGGTGTAAATTGGAGAGATGCTAATCACTTTGAATTAGCCATGACATTGGCGCGCCCTGAAAATGCTGTTTTCAGGATGCATGACTTACTATCGAATTTAAAAAGCAGAAACATTTTGGCCAGCTGGGGATTTACCAATAGACAATAATAGGCAGTTGCCTAGGGCCCCAAGTTACAGTACGTTATAGTACAACTATTCCTTATTTGTGCACATCAATTATTAATTATCCTTTCACTAAAATGCCATCAGAACGCTGATAATATTAAGTGCGTCTCAGCCCCCCCTTCAGTGTCCACCATATTGGATCAGTCCATTTGCTGCACATGTTCAGAAAGGTCCAAACAGACAGCAGCAAACCATTTGAAAACAAACGGTTGTTGCCAACTTAGCGCTTTAGTCGCTATATTTAGCGACTTCTGCGACCCCTCTAGCACTTTTATTTCAAAAAAGCGGCTAGCGTCACATCTGGCAGCTTTTTTCTGCTACTGGACTTTAGCGACAACATCTAAAAGCAGCGAACTCTGCTCTCCAGAGCAAGTAGATTGGTAATTGGTATTGCTCAGTAGTAATGACAGAACATCACAGTTAGTTTGATGTTATGGATGGGATTTTCTTTAAGCATGAAATAATCAGATTATTATATTAAATAGGAAAATGTTTGGTCTAATGAAAAAAGGGAATAATTGGCAGCTGGATCCCGACTGTTAAAAAAATCCACCACCAGATCCCGCTGGAGCGTTTCTTTACTACAATCTTTGCTTTTTAGAAATATAAGTTCTGTTAAAACCTGTTTGTTTGCCCCTTTTGTGTTTAAAGTCTGTGCAAATTCAGTTTTCTACAAGATTATAGAAAAAATTATTTTGGATTTTGATCAGTTTATAGACAAAATCATCAGAATTAAAAGAAACTGTAGAAAAAACCTAAATAAAATGGACATTTGGCTGATGTTCCAACCCATAGAGAAGCAACTTTACAGGTTAACAGTGCTTCTGTTTTTTCTGCTCAGGGTCACAGCACCATGTTCCCACCCTGTGTTTGCTCAGGTGGTCTCACCCCACTGGAAAGTCATCAACTAGAAGCAGAACAGCTGAACAGAGTGGACTGAAACACATCTACCACATGAAAAGACCACACCTTGTTTTTCTAGAACTTTATCATCAAAAGAAATTCACAAAATAATCTTTAAAAACAAAATATTTACATATTTATATATATAATATATATAGATCTATATATGTAGAGCTTGCAAAATGTCTATAAATTAAGCTTGACACTGAAGTGCATGATACATCCTAAAGTTTGAAATTTTCTGACGGATGAAATGATTTTATGCTGAAAAGTCCATCATCCGTAATAAAAGGCCATGAAGGGTGCGTGTGAGAGGTGCACACCCCCGCTTCCACAGGGGACGGCCGATCCTGCCCGACTGCAGCCCAGAATCAGGCCCACATCCAGAGCCAGGAGCCCGTTATCAACCCCATCGTCCCACATTTGTCCATCAGTGTCCTGCAGAATTCTCAGAGAGGTTTTTCCACCTGTTAGCTCCTCGTTGGAGATAAGCCTCCCCAGGTGCATGTTTACCAAGCTATGGCCATCGCCTCCTCCGCCGCCGCCACCTGCCGCGTCCTGCAGGTTCTGCAACAGGAACAGGAGGTCCACCTTCAGCTCTACTGCGTCGCCCAGAGAAATCAGGGTGTACCTGCAAGCAAAACAAACATTAATACCAATAAACCAAAATTCAGCAGTTGGATTAAGAAAATATCCACAAAATTACAAGATTACTTTCATTGTAAAAGGGAAATTATCTCTATTTCAAGCTATTTGGGGTCCTTTTATGGAATATATAGAAAACATGGATATGAGGGGTGATGGGGATGAACTATGGTGGCAGCTGGTTTCCTAAAGTGTCCTAAAATAAGCTTCGATATTAGTATAACCAATGATTTTACTTGAATTATACATTTAAATTTGTATTTTTTGAACTATGTATAATAATAAAACTATTTCTTTTGGAAACAGAGAAACCATTATTGTTGTAATTGTTATTTTTTTTCAGGGGGATTTGTGTTTTTTGTTCTTTGTTTCCTCATATGCTCTGTGTGTTATAAGTGTTGCTCTAAAATATCCTGGTGTGCAAGAAACGACAAGCTGAATGTAAGTCGACTACCCTGAAATTTTCCTTTAATGTGAGAGCACACCTATGTTCTCTATATTATTGGAAATACTGTTGAAAAATCTATAAAGATAATGTTGAAAATAGTGAATATTAAATTTCATGATCGCAGTTTCGGTTTGTTGTTTTATCTTCTGCTGATGATCCCGTGTGAAATAGGAAGCGTGATTTTACCTGGTGGGGAAATTGTGCTTCACCATGAAGGGAATGATGGGGGTGATGTTGAGATGCTGTGGGTTGGAGAGCTGAAGATGAAGCTCGGCTCTCCTCACCGTCATCGCTAAAATCTCCCTGGTCAGGACGAATTCAACACCCGCATCTGGTGGAAGAAGAAGAAGCAGAACATTCAGTCGAGTGTTTCATAGAACAGAGTCACGTTTTTAGCCTAGACTGACAGCGGAGGACGATCATGTCTCCAAATATCAGCTGGATGCACAAACATCTCAATCACCTCAGTGAAAAAGCAACACAAACAGAATGAACCACTAATACCTCATTTTTCATCTGTTTATGACTTTCGTTCTTTATTACTTAGATACTGGAGCCGAGCTTTATCCACACCTGTATGGGTCAGTTATTAGAAAGCCGAGGGGGCGGAGTCTCCCCGCTCTGAGTGGAGGTTTCTACACTGCAAAAACGATCCAGGAATAAGTAAAAATTTCTTAAATTAAGTGTATTTCCCCTTAATTTGAGCAGGTAAATAAGATTATTTGCCAATAGAATCAGTAGTTTTGCTCTTAAAATAGGATAATTAGATAATATGCACTTTAAATAAGACAATATAATTGTTTTTTCTTATTTTAAGTGTAAATTGTCTTGTTCCATTGGCAAAGTGTCTCACTTACCACATAAATTCAAGAAAAAAATTGAGTTATTTTAAGATGAAATGACTCATCTAGACTTAATAAGATTTAATTTTTTTTCCAGTGTAATTGCTGTGTTAATCTCCATGGATACCTGAACAATTTGCAGAGAGAAAATCAAACCCAGGATTTCCATGCAGACGACACGGTCCTCGTTTGAGTCGCAGTTATCAAGTCAATAAGATCCATAACTCTGCTATGCCTTTAACCCTTAATAAAGCAAGTTACTGTTTTTGATCACTTGCATATCCCCCCCCGTCCCTCACTGAGGGAAATGTCCAGCCATTTAGCTAAGATCCTGCGCTCTGTGCTGTTATTTGACCAATTAGATGAGCCCTTGAATGATAAATTACCTACTGTAAATAAAGCAGAAAAAGAAAGTTTAAAAAGTCAAGAAAAAAAGGTAAAAAGCTGATTAAAAAGTTAAACATTTAATAAGCCTAGTTAACAATTATATTTAGGTTTATAAACTAAAAAATGTCAGTGCCAGTATCAGCATTAATGCCTCTAAGGTTGTTGTATTAAAAATGTGTTTCTTTCACTCTCTGAGTGTTTTTCATGAATTTCTTATTGAAGCACTTTTGTTATTTTTCTTAATATATTCGGGCAAGTTGGCGTATTTTTTTTTCCATCAAAATATCCATATTTTTTGAATGTTACAAAGGAAATGAGGTCTTGTCCTGGATTCCAATGACACTATTGGCTTGAATATTTGATTTTCACAGTATTTCACTAAGGCTTACAAGCATTTTTGTCACAGTTCTTCATGCTGTCTCTATGTCACGGTTGCTCCATATCATTTCCTTATTAGCATAACTAATCTGCTATCATCACCTTATCTTTTCCAAACCAACAGGTTACATCTTTGCTCCAACTAATCCCTCCCCCCTTTCAGTGTGATTCAGACTCAACAATGCCTACGTTTGCATTTAAAATGTTACCATGGCAAACAGATTTAAAGGAGGGAGATGTGTTCATATTTCTTTATTTGGAGTTTTTTTCCATTAGACGCAGAGAAGGAAGTAACTTCCGGGTGTTTTTGAAATGCTCCATAACTGATCAAATGTTAAGGCTGTTTATGGTATGCATCCTTTGGTTAGATGTTTAAATTATATCTGTTCCTCATGTGACCAAAGCTTAAAAACCTCCTTCAGCTACAGTAGGAATGCATCCTTTGTAGCAGAGGTTTCTAAGCCTTTGACCGTCTCCTCTGCTTTAACCAGCTTTGATTTCCATATGGACAGTATGGCTCTGCACCCCCGTACCAGTTTTCAGTTGCTGATTTGCATTTTCCATTCAACGAGGAGGCTGCAGTTCACCAAATAAGCAAGAAAACAAGGCCTTACATTGCAGCTGTGTGACAGGGCTCAGTTGATGTGATTATCTGCTTTCCGTTTGGCATTAAATTAAATTCCCTCTTCAGTTGGTTTCACTAAATCCTTCGCTCCAAATGCACAGCTGCAGGAAATAGTTTGTGCTGCTGTGTTTTATTTATAGAAATATGCTCTAATTATTTTCCCTCCTGGTCACTAATTCTTCAGTCTTCAGTTATACCATAAAGACATAATTAGGGCAGAAATGAGGAAAGCTGCTGTATTTCTAATAAAGCATGTGTTGATGTTTAATCCCACTGAAAAGTGAAGATCTGTCATAGGAAACTTTTAGCAAAGCAGCTACATCTTTGATTTTTTTAGTTAAGGATAATTAAACATTTTTAGGACCCTGCTGGTTTAGAAACTGATTTATTTAAGATGGGTGACATGGCTCTCTGCCCAGGGCAGCGAGGGTAAGAGAGCAGCACAACACATACAAAAGTTATGGCTCAGCTGTTCATAAAACACCCCAGACATGCACTGGAAAAAATCTAAATCTAGATGAGTAATTTTTCCTTAAATTAAGTGCGTCTACTCTTGGATTAAGGAGGTAAAACAGACATTTTGCCAATGGAACAAGACAATTTACACTTAAAACAAGAAAACAGAATTGCATTGTGTTATTTCAAGTGCATGTTATCTAATTATCTTATTTTAAGAGTAAAAATACTCATTCCATTGGCAAACTATTTCATTTACTGACTCAAATTAAGGGTAAATGCGCTTAATTTAAGCCCTTTTTACTTATTTCTAGATTGTTTTTCCAGTGTGCTTTTATTTTTTGCAATTTCTGCGCTGGAAAACGATCTATAAAGAAGTACAAATTTCTCAAATTAAGTGTGTTTACCCTTAATTTGAGTAGGTAAATGAGATGATTTGCTAATGGAATAAGTATGTTTACTATTAAAATAAGATATTTAGATCAAATGCACTTGAAATAAGACAATGCAGTTGTGTCTTCTTATTTTAAATCTAAATTGTCTTAGTCCATTGGCAAAATGTCTCTTTTACCTCCTCAATTCAAGAACAAATGCACTTATTTTAAGGAATAATGACTTATCTAGATTTAGATTTTTGTCCAGTGTGCAGAAGGTGGACAGACACCAAAGCTAATAAAGGACTATTTGAATGTTTTTAAAGAGCTGATCAGTTTATCTGTTGGACCTGAAAAAACAAAGACTAAATAATTATGCACCCATCCTGCAGGTTTTAGAAATGTCTCTGCATTAAAGCTCTGTTCATCAGCCATCAATGGAAAATAGGTGCTCTGAAACAGACGGACGTCTAAAACATGCAGGACACCGGCCCCTTCTGGACAGACTGAGGTCTAGAGTGGGGGCAGGAAGGGATTCCCTCACACAACCTTTTAGGCAAAACTGCATCCCTTTATAGATGTGATATTTGGTCTGTCTTCTCAAAAACTTTACAAACTTGTTTCTGTTAAAAAGGAATTTCTTTTCTCTCTGCTTTCGCAGAGAAAGAGGATTTCTGCAAAATCAACAACACAATATAAGGAGTGTTGGCCTGTTGGTTAGAGCAGTGCGCTTGTGCTCTGAGAAGGTTGTGAGTACCCGGTTCAATCTCCACAGCCTGACCTTTAACCCCACACTGCTCCCCGGGCGCTGCACAATGGCAGCCCACTGCTCACCACACTGCAAAAATCTAAATAAGTCATTTTTTTCTTTAAATAAGTGCATTTAGTCTTGAATTGAGGAGGTAAGTGAGACACTTTGCCAATGGAAGAAGACTACTTACATTTAAAATAAGAAAAAGCAACTGCATTGTCTTATTACAAGTGAAAATTATCTAATCATCTTATTTTAAGAGTAAAATTACTCATTCTATTGACAAATCATCTTATTTAACTACTAAAATTAAATGTAAATACACATATTTAAGGAATGTTTACTTATTTCTAGATGATTTTTTACAGATGAAGGGGATGGGTTAAATGCAGAGTGTTAATTTCTCCAATGTGAGATCAATAAAGGTCAAAGTTCAATTAAGGAAACTGCCAGTTTTTGTTTATCCAGGAGACATTTCTGCAGGTCAGTGACTCCATGCAGTCACATGGGATTCATTTTAATTTCAAACCAAGGATTTGATCATAATTACAGTAACTTGGAGCAGCAGAAGCAAAGTGACCTCTAACCATGTAATGTGGATCCTCACCTCCTCTCAGCCTGCCTTGAATCCCTTTAACGCTCCTGCAGCCGCCTCCCTCCTTGCAGCAGCGGTAAACCCGTCGGATAAAACTGAAGAGAGATTTCCCGGGAAAAACCAACCCACGCAAGGCTCCGGGGGAAAAGGGCCGCACCCGGAGCTGCAGCACCGTGGATCCATCCCGGGGAGCCTGCTGCATGTTCTCCATCCAGGGGCCTCCCAGCTCCGCGCAGCGCGCCGCCGCGCGCCTCCACCGCGTCTCTCCATCCGTGCGTAAAACCTGTCCAGATGATCCATCCGCGGTCTGTGCAGACTGTAACCGGAACCCAGGCGAGTCCAACGCGCGACCCAAGACTCCGACATCGCTTGTTAGTAAGAAAACAAATGAAACAATCCGTAGGTAGTGTGGAGCAGCCATGATGGGAGCCTAAACTCTGCGCTTTTCCAAACTGACTGTTCTCTCCGCTCTATATACCCCGCTGACAAAAGGCACAGCTCATCATTTAGAATTTGAATCCCTCCTCTCAGTCCCTGCCCTTTTTTTTTGTCCCTGCGCCTTAAACTACTCATTTGACCCCTGCTGCTTTCTTTTAATGCGCCTGCATAATGAGGCGCCCCAAAGCGCGCCGCCCAGCTCCTTTCACATTCAGCCGCTCCGCTAATGACTCTAATCAGCCCATATTTGGAGCAGGCTTTATTTACAGCAGCAAAGCATCAGGGAATAAAACTACATTCACACATCCATGTGTTTAGTTATGTTGTGCACACTCCCCTTTTTTCATCAGGGTCATTTTAGAAACTAAAAGTGAGAAAACAATGGGGGCCACTGGTGCTGGCCCTAAGAGGGCCCCTGTGGCTTTAAACATGGAGTAACAAAAAGAAGGGATTCACATGGTTTGGATTGAAAGAGCGCAGTAGAACAACAACAAGCAGAGCTTTTAGATGTTTAACATTTTTATTCTTTAATAAAAGCTGAAATGGAGAAAATAAAGCAACAGAATCAGAACTTTTAATGTTTTAATAAGAGCTGGAGGGAAAAAAAAGATAAAAAAAAAATAAAATATCAGCAGCTTGAAGGTTATGGAATGGGTGTTTGTTGTGTAAACAAATTCTATAAGAGCTCACATATATCTTACATTCAAATCAGATAAAAAAAACAGTCAAAAAGTTTTTTCCACCATTGAAACTTTTCCACATTCTCTCATCTTCCAACCAGCACAGAGCAGTGCAGCCTGGACTTTGACTAGGCCATATTCATACATATTCATGTCACCACCACTATGTTTTAGAATCAGCTGGATGTTTTAGGGTTGTTGTATTCTGCCTCGTTCTTCTGCAGCTTTTGTTTATTTTAATAACTCTGAACAGTTTTTATGTTGCCATTGAAAAAAAAGGATCCCACAGCATGATGCAGCCACTTATGACACACCAGCAGACTCTTTATTCTGGCTTTAATTAGGCGGCTTCAGAATGTAACTAGTTTTGCTGTTTTATTTGAAGATATCAGGTTGAAAGCTGCGTTTCATTCTGTGTTGCTAAAAATAAGCAATAAAGTTTTAAACTCCTGTGAATTTTGTCAGCATGTATCGATCTGAGATCTGCTGAAGCTTTTAAAGTTCAGAGCTGGGTCTTCTTTTCATTGGCTGAAGTTCTGGGTCCGGTGGGCCCGATCACAGCAGGTTGACCCCGTGTTTGAGCAGCCGGTGCCGGGCCTTGCTGGGCAGCGAGAAGGCGCTGTCCTGCTGGTTGGGGATGCCGGAGTTCCTCATGGATCCGCCGTGCTGCTGGAAGAAGGTCTCCTGCGCCACGCTGCGGGTCCCGTACACGGCAGTACCGGCGTTCCTGAGAGGGAAACGGAGCGCAAACATTTTTACTTAAAGCTCAAAAAACGGCGCTGAAAGAAAGGAGCCCATAGTTTGAAAAAAGCATTAAAAGATGTACGATGATAACCATGAAAACCTGACAAATTACCCCCCTGTCACACACACACACACACCCTGAGGAACAAGATCTCCCCCGACCAGAGCTGACCTGATAATAGCCTCCTGCAGAGTCTCAGTGTCAAAGAAATGCGAGTGGAGCAGCGATGTGGCTCGGACAAAAGGATGCTCCGGGGCTCCCCCAGGTCGGCCAGACACGTTGGCTGCAGAGACACACAATGACAGAGGACCGTTAACCCGGCAGCTGCACAAAGGAATGCTGATCACAGCTCGACTAATTAGCCGTCAGCCCATCAGGGACAGATATAAACCAGCAGATCCAGGCTCAGAGTTGATCTGCTGGGGAAGAGGAAACACAGGGCCTTACTGGTTAGAGTGTGCTGGACGGAGTCATGATGGGCGAACAGGTAAGGGCCCGCAGCACCGGGGGCCGCCGCAGGAATGGCTCTGAGATGGGCCTCCAGTCCGTTCAGGGAAGCCAGGCTGCTGTGGTTCTAAAAAAAAACAAAAAACATCTTTAGTTATCAGCCGCAGTGATGTCGTCTCCATAAACATGCTTCTCCTCACCACTTCCTCCAAAGACGCAGTGTCACTCATGAACCCGGGCTCCACCAGCAGGGCCAGCACCAGGCTGTTGACCCTGTGCGTGTACAGCGTCATGGCAACCAGAGGGCTGTCCTCCAAGCTGTCAGGAGCCCAGGAACCAGGAGGAGGCTGCCTGCTCTCCGCCTTGAGGCCCGCTGTCATCTTTTCTTCTCCAAACGAATCGTCAGCTGAGAAGGTCGCCGAGGTCGCTCCGTTCAGATAGACGCTTTCCTCAATCGCTGAACCGTCTCCTTCGCTGAGCGTCTGGCTCACTACGTCTCCGCTGCTGTAAAAACTGTGATAGTGCGACTCTTCCGGGTCTCCCTCCACCGCTTCAGAAGCGTTCGTTCCATTGGAACACGGTGACAGAGGAGAGGGGGAATCAGCGGCTCTCTGCGACGGAGCCGGACTGAACGCAGAGTCTTCAGATCCAGACAGATGAGGGCTGATGGAGCCTTTCTGAGGCGACTGGCAGGACGCCGGACGAGGCGGCTCCGACTCGCAGGAGGCTGCGTCCGACAGGGTTCTGGAAAGCCTGGTCTTCTTTGGGGGGGCGTCTTTCTCCGCAGCAGGATGGAAACTGAAAGGTGGAAAAAATCCAGACGGTTAGAGGCCTCGATACGGCTCACCACCCAGGGCCACACAGCTGCTGGATGGTAGGGGCGGTCAGTTTCATTTTAGTAAAGGATGATATTAGGCCCAGTATGCAAATTACACAATAATCACTAAATTAAAACATTATACAAGATTTAATAATTTTTTTACTGATTGGATTTGGAATTAGATGATAACAAGGGGTCGTTCACATTTCAACATTTTACCAAGTTTTCAAAACATAATATTTTTGCAAAACTCAAAAAAGTAGAAATTTGGCCCCATTTTTATTTTACTGTAACTATGAAGTTATGAACACAGGTGACGTCTGTTATTGTTTCTGAATCCTTATTTAATCATTGCTACACTTTATGGACGGGAAAAGTTCATTTATTGTCTGAAAAGCTGCACTAAACGGAATTTCATTTTGCATACACAAAATTACAATAAAAGTTGTCAAAGTCTAATTTACTAACCGACTATAAGAAAAGTGCAGTGCAGGGGCGGTGTTGACCTAATGGTGCGTTGTGCTCCGGGAAGGTGGCAAGTACCTGGTTTGATTCCCACAGACTGCACACTGGGTCCCTGAGCAAGACCCTTTACCCCACACTGCTCCCCGGGCGCCACACAGTGGCAGCCCACTGCTCCCCAAGGGGAGGGGTTAAATGCAGAGAGTAAATTTCTCCAATGTGAGATCAATAAAGTTGAATTATTATTAAAATAAAAGAAATGATTAAATATCAGTTTTGATGTGAGCTGAAGGATCATCATTTAAAAAGTAAACGCGTGTTTTTTTATTACGTAGACTTCTGAAAATAAAGAAAATTGTGCAGAACAAGCTGGTATGATAAAAAAATGAAACCTCTTTGAATCAGAAGACGTCTGGTTTAGATTTAGAGAAGATTAAAGGACATAATCTAATCTGGATTAATCCTGAATTGATTTTAAAGATAATTTAAAACCAAAATCTGGGGAACCTTCCCTCTGATTTTAAGAGACACAGAATGAGCTTTATTAGCGTGGAGGTTCTGTGTTTGGTTGAAGAGTCCAGGAGGGAAAACTTTACCGGGAGGTTTTGTCCACAGGAGCAGATTTCAGGTCCTGGAGCTCTGATGGTGTCAGGAACACGGCCGCTGAGCTAACAGAACCGCCGTCTGAGCTAGCTGGACTCTCTCCACTCGACCGCTGGATCTGAAAACAAACATTTCCTGTTAAAGTAACACTTTGGTTTCCAACAGACTTTACTTTTTAAGAGAATTTTGTCATTATCAATAAAAAAATATATATAATTAATGTTCTGTTAAGTGATGCTACAAAGCTGCTAGGCTAACTGTTTAGCCTAGCATGACATACAGTATGCTAATAGGTAAAATCTCCACAAAATCAGTTATAAATCAAACTATAACTAGATTATTAAATTCAAGCCAGATGTGATTTTTTTTCCAGCTTATTTAATATTTATCTGCATTAAGGCCGTCGTTCCTACCTTAGAGTACGATTCGCTCTCATGAACTATGACCTTTATGGTTAACTCTGGAGGCATCTGTGTGCTGACGACCCTGGAAGAGATCAGGAGATATTAGAAAGACAAATAATAATAATAACAGGTGAGAAAAAAGAAATCAGCTGACCTTCCTCTAAAAAGGATGCAGCCTGCCAACACTAGGGGGCAGCGCTGGCAGGCCTGAAGGATGAGGGCAGCTTTGAGGAGAAGAAGAGGATCAACCTGAGAAGAAGAGTCTGTTATTGCTTTTCAGGAAGAGTTTAGACGTTTCAATCAGCTTTTTGGGACAGAGGAAGCTGCCGATGATCAAACCTGAATTTATTTATGTCATCTGTGACCTTAGTGCTTCTTAGATGGATTTTATGTTACAAAACAAACGAAATTAGCAGAGAAACATGAAGCAGAAAAAGCTTTATACGTGTTAACAAATCCTAAATCATTGAATTTAAATATAGCCGACTGCAAATATAATATAGTTAATGATAAGATATAATAAAAATAAAATAAAAAGAAGAATTATTTCTTTCAGAAATCCTATAATCTGAGTCCATATTTAATATCAGGAATAATTCAGCTTTCTCTGAAGGCCTCTGAGGTTTGGATCACAAAGACCAAGAAGGTTATTGTTAAATAAAACAAATCAAATGATGAAAAAACTGAATTAAAAAAAAAACATTTCTAATAGCTCAAATAAAATTAAAACTAGACCTTGCAAATTAAAAAGAAAACTAACTGAAATAGTAATAAGAGTTTACAAAACTAATTGATTTTAAAGAGAGGATTTGCTTAGTTTCATTTATTTCTTTATCATAATGCATGATTCCAGTTTTGCGTCTGATCCAACAGCAGATCGAGCCTGATGAGGTCGTGGCTTTTAGCGTTTATTGAGAGTCGATGGGGTTGATCGCACCTGACACGATTTTACGCAAG